GTCCCCATCCTTCAGGTGTCCCCATCATGGTGTCCCCGTCAAAGTGTCCTCATCACAGTGTCCCCTTACTGCAGGTGTCCCCATCACAGTGTCCATATACATCAGGTTCCCCCATTACAGTGTCCCCAAACATCAGTTGTGCGCCCCATCCCCCTTATACTCACAGAGCAGAATGCTGTTCCCACCTGCCATAAAGGAAGCTCCTCTTCCTCTCCCCTGCTGAGATTGAGGTGAGTTCTCAATCTCAGTGCCGGTTCTCTTCTGCTCCCTGCAGTAGGGATGAGAAACCCGAATCCTCTCTCCAGCATTATCCAGCTGCTGCTTGGGGACACTGTGATGGGAATACCTGATGTAAGGGGACACTGTGATGGGGACACCTGATGTAAGGGGACACTGTAATGGGGACACCTGATGTCTGGGGGCACTGTGATGGGGACACTTGATCTATGGAAACACTGGATGGGGACACCTGATGTCTGGGGGCACTGTGATGGGGACACCTGATTTATGGAAACACTGTGATGGGGACACCTGATGCAGGCTGGTAGGGGCCCCAGAGCATTACTTTGCCCAGGTGCCCATGATGCTATTAGGATGGCACTGGTTGCAGCTCCCAGATATGCCCAGCTAAAGATGTGAAGACCAGTCATGTGTAGGCAGGTGCAGTCTGTATTCTCCACTACAAGTGGCTCTCGACAGCAGCAGCAATACAGATGGGGGGGAAGTTGAGAGGAACTTGGTCATGGGGGGAGGGGAGACACAGCTATCCGACTGGATGTTGGCATCTCATGTGACTTTGGCAGCCATCCTGGGTCATGCCAATTCTATTTAAGACTCCGGATCCTGGGCTTGGCACGCTTTTTGCGAGTGACTAGGTAGAGACAGGTTCCTCATCTATCAGACATAGGGAAAGGTTGCAGAGGAGTATGAAGAGTGCAGGGACTATGTCTAACTCTTCTAGGAAGCCTCCTCTTTGGGTGTGGACCAGCCAGGCTGCATTCTTCATGGCAGATGCTTTTGGCATCTTCTAGTCTTCAGACCGCTGTTCCACCACTGTTCCAGTTTGTAAGTGGCTCTGGACAGGTGTTGCTATTGCTATTGCTCAGCTTGGACTCAACGCAACAACACTGCACCTAGCTCACACGCGGTTTGCAGAGAACAGATGGCAGGAGACAGGGAATATAAATCTATAGTAGAGCAGGTAACGTCCATAGGAGAACACAGAAGCTAACAATACATGTGCGTAGAACCACAAGTCCAGCAGAACCTCTGCAGCAAGGAGGTAAGAATTTTGCAATCAGGAAACTGCAGACTAAAGCATGACAGCTCCCTTGCCATCAAAGGTAAGAAATGTATTTCCATGGGGGAGTACACAACCAATGTTCCTCATTCCCAATTGTCCATAAAATTCCAACTTTATTGAAGCAGCAGATAAATCAGCAAGGAAAGCGCTTACGTTCTTGGCATTGCTTATGGGTTAAATCTTCTTTTTTTTAAGCCTTTAAAACCCTAAAATTCCGACCTAAATCAGCTGCCCCATGAACCCATGTAGCATCTACTGCAACCAGTGATCAGAAGTTCTCCTTTCCATTCTCTGCTTCTCAGTTGAGACTTGAATTGGACAGTGGTTCCCACTAGCAGGTCTAGGTCTTTCAGGAGAAACTCTGCCATGTTACACTTCTTCTGCAACTGGTGGTCAGAAGTTCCCCTTTTCATTCTCTGTTTTTCAGTTGAGACCTAAATTGGACAGTGGTTCCCACTAGCAGGTCTAGGTCTTTTAGGAGAAACTCTGCCATGTTACACTTCTTCTGCAACCGGTGGTCAAAAGTTCCTCTTTTCATTCAGGTCTTTTAGGAGAAACTCTGCCATGTTACACTTCTTCTGCAACCGGTGGTCAAAAGTTCCTCTTTTCATTCTCTGCTTTTCAGTTGAGACCTGAATTGGACAGCATTGCTCACCAGCTGGTCCAGGTCCTGCCCCCCTTCTACTCCAGATACTGATGTACCTGTCTTTTAGGAGAAACTCTGTTACACTCCAGTTACTTGGAATAAAGAATGTCCATTCAAGATGTTCCATGCCTCTCTGTCCTGTCACAGCATTGTGCAATCATGCACACCTCCCTTGCAACCACACATGGATTCCTCAGAAGGATCAAGCCCTGAACTATGGTAAGATCCTAGATTATACCTGCATGCTCAGCCTTCTGGTGGCCTGGCAAAACCCGGACCCTAAGTTGGAGACCCTTTATCATCTTCTCCTACATTTCCACTGTGGCAGGGCCTGGCTCTTGATACTATTCAATGTCTCACTGTGCTTTCGGCACCCCAACTTCCATCTTCCTCCTTCACATTAGTCACACTGCAGAACACTTCAGTTCCATCAACCCAGTGCAACAGAGTCCAGCCATCTTCCCATTTGTCTCTACCGAGTCCCCTAGCAATGATTCCTCACATAAGGTGTTTCACCAGACCAAGGCCCTAAGGGTCTATAGTTCAACAAGCTACAGACCTGCTCAACGAAGGTCAGGGGGTAGCTAAGGTTCTTCCACCTTCTCCCTTGTGAGTCCTTATTAAAGACTTCGGACAGTCCTGCCCTCCATAGGGCTCTCTCTCACTCTCACATGCACAGGTCACAGACCTACACAATGTTGGTCAGGCTGACCTGTTCCCATACCCAAATTACCATGCCTCACCCATGGCAGATAATAAAAATACTTTTTTTTTCAGGGGTTAACTTGATGGTCCGATAACATGACAGGTCCTTCCTCTTCTCCTCCAGAAGTAGTGGTGGGCACTCCCTATTGCTGCACTGAATGGTCCTTGTGTAATGATACGATAGTGCCATGCAGTGCAATAATATTCTGATTCAGGTTCTTGTGAAGCCCAAAGGGTAGGTCCAGTGCTAGGACAAGGTCATCCAGCGCCCAGGGCAAAGATGCCAAAATGCTGCCCCCCTTGGTTCATGCTGTGCAAGCTTAGGGGATACTTCACCCAGCAGTCACTCACTTGTCAATATAACTGCCACTATCGCTACTCTTGTCAGCAGGGCTGCTGTTAGAAACCATGGGGCCCCATACAGCCAACCTGACAGCCCCCCCCCCCCCCCAAATAAAAAAACAAATAAAGTTTATTATGCTTCAGTATGAATGAACACAGTGAGTGATTGGTACTGCTCACTCATTGTGTTCATTCAGGGGGGGGAAAGGGCCTGGCAAATGTGACATATTTACTGGCCCTTCCCGCACTCTCCATTCTGATCCTGAAGAATCCAATTGTGCGCTTGCAGCTGCTGTTGGGAAGGAGAGAAGGGAAGCCATCAGCACTGCGGGGTCGGGGGGCACACTGGGGGGCCTGGGCAGTAGGGGAAATGTATGATGCACAGGGAGGGTGATAGGTGCACCAGGGGGGGAATTACTGGAACTGATCCCTTGTATTGCCCCTGCTGCAGCAGCTGAAAGCCAGTTGCTGCAGAGAGAGCCGTACAGGGGATCGGTTCCAGTAATTGCCCCCCACCATGCCAATCACCCTTCCTGCCCACATCTGATTCACCCAGCTGGCTGGGCCCCCCTGCTGACCTAGGCCCTGTACAGGAGGACTGGTGGTACCCCCTTATCCACGGCCCTGCCTGTCAGCCTTGAAACAGAAGGAAGTTGCACCCCCCCATCCCTACAGCAAACTATTGCACTCAGGACAGCCGTCCCTTCCGCCCACCCCTTGTCCCAGCCCTGGGTGGGTCCATAACAGTCTGGGCTAGGAGGAAGTAGATTGATTGGAAGACTGAGGCATCTAGTGGTGGAAATCAAGTACTGCAGGGGACAGCTCCAGGTTTAAAGTGAGTATTGCAGCCAACGTAAAAAAAAAATTGCGGCTAGAGTCTTGCAAGTCTTCTCATTAATAAAAAAAAATAATTTTCTCATTCTGATCCACATCTGATTCACCCAGCTGGCTGGGCCCCCCTGCTGACCTAGGCCCCGTACAGGAGGACTGGTGGTACCCCCCTTATCCACGGCCCTGCCTGTCAGTCTTGAAACAGAAGGAAGGCGCCCCCCCCCCCATCCCTACAGCAAACCATTGCACCCAGGACAGCCGTCCCTTCCGCCCACCCCCCTTGTCCCAGCCCTGGGTGGGTCCATGACAGTCTGGGCTAGGAGGAAGTAGATTGATTGGAAGACTGAGGCATCTAGTGGTGGAAATCAAGTACTGCAGGGGACAGCTCCAGGTTTAAAGTGAGTATTGCAGCCCACGTAAATTTTTTTTGCGGCTAGAGTCTTGCAAGTCTTCTCATTAATAAAAAAAAATAATTTTCTCATTCTAAACAGCACAGCTGTCTGAAACATCTCAATGAGCCGTCGCCATTTCGGCATTAATCGCATTGCTCTATGTTGCAAGGATTTTTTTAACACAAATTCACCCCCTTGTAAAATTTTGAGAATCAGACTTCACAATCTCCTGTGCTAAAAATGATGCATGTGATCGATCTCTAATACCTTCTTCAATTTACTCATTAATGATGATTTAAGATTTGCTTCTCATCCCTCATGAACCGTCGCCTGTCACTCAATGGCTAATCCACTTTCTACAGTCAGATACAATTATTCTGATGAATGTTTCATTTCCCAACGGATCGCGCCAAACGAGTCAAGCCGAGTCCCACGTGAACAGAACACTATTTTAGTACGGATTATCAGGTTTTCGAGTTAAAGCCAAATTCCAGGCAAATTGCTAAATAGCAGATAAATGACATCTAGGAGAGCGGCGTTGCCTGTCAAAGATTTGCACTTTTGTCCATTCAGTGCTGAGATCTTCACAGCTCTGCCGCGCAGCACAGCACAGCCTGCGGACCTGATTTTTCTTTACTGCAGTTACAGTAAAATGAAGAAAAAAAAAAAAGTATATAATAAGCATGCCTTGAAGTTGCAAGTGCATATTTGCTGTCAGGAACCTCATATCAGCTGTGAATGCGTTCTGAGGGAAAGGTTAGACCTCGAAATGTGTTAGCCTGGTTAGGGGCGGACTGACCATTTGAGCACTCGGGCACTGCCCGAGGGCCCGGGGTCAGTAGGGGGCCCCATGAGATGTCCCTGGTACCTTTTTATAGTTTTTTTTTGGGTGTGGGCGAGGACACGGGGGCCCCATGATCCCCTATTGCCCGGGGGCCCCATGAGTTGTCAGTCCGCCCCTGAGCCTGGTGGAAGTCCTATTGCCCTGCGTTAGTCTGTTGGAAGTCCTATTGCCCTGGGTTAGCCTGGAGGAAGTCCTATTGCCCTGCGTTAGCATGGTGGAAGTCCTACTGCCCTGGGTTAGCATGGTGGAAGTCCTATTGCCCTGCGTCAGCCTAGTGGAAGTCCTATTGCCCTGCGTTAGCCTAGTGGAAGTCCTATTGCCCTGCGTTAGGCTGGTGGAAGTCCTATTGCCCTGGGGCTGGTGGAAGTCCTATTGCCCTGCGTTAGCCTAGTGGAAGTCCTATTGCCCTGCGTTAGCCTGGTGGAAGTCCTATTGCCCTGCATTAGCCTGGTGGAAGTCCTATTGCCCTGCGTTAGGCTGCTGGAAGTATGAAAAAGGTACCAGGGGCATCTCATGGGGCCCCCTACCGACCCCGGGCCCTCGGGCAGTGCCCGAGTTTCCAAATGGTCAGTCCGCCCCTGCTTGTGAGTATAATGCTTACCACTTTTCTATTGGCAAAGCTATGTTTTAAGGATAATGCACTAGGCCGGTGCGCCCTCTCTTTTGTTTGTGGTGGCAGCTGTGTAAATGCTTTTGAACGTGCATGCAAATGTGCACGTGGATGCACGGGCATGTCCACCACAGATACTGGTGCCTAGTGGACAATTTGTCATTGTTGAATGGTCTTTCAGCTTGTGGGCATGTGTAGTTCAGCTTCCCCACACAGGTGGCGCTGTCCTGGACATGCAGGGAAGAATGGAGGTTAAGAGGAGCTCTTGTTCCTCTGAGGCCTCCGTAGGCATAATCAAGGCAGCAGCCATTTGATTGGATGGTGCGACGCTGAGTGACCCCCATGACCCCTCTGAGATTCCCGTCTCCCAGCTACCAAGCTGGCCAACTCTTGGAGCAGCCACCAACTGGACTTTAGGTACCCATGCCCCTTTGTGCCTTGCAGAACCTGTCACCAACTCCAGGGATGTGCCGACTAGGCAGGGGTATTGAATTAAAATTCATGGAGGTTCGATCAGCAAAATTTTCTTCCAGTAGAGGTCCAAGTCTCATGTTTGTGTTAATACTCAGCCCCTCTTCGCATCACAACCCCCCTTTGAAACGCAATCCCCCCCATTTACATCACACTGCCATCTTTTACATCACAGCACAATGTTTTACAACATAGCCCCCTTTATACAGTGCCCCCTTTGCATCGAAGTCCCCCATCTTTACATCACAGCTTCCTCATCTTTACATCACAGCCCCCTCCTTTGTAACATAGCCCCCCCATCTTTACATCACAGTCTTTACATCACAGTCCCCCATCTTTATATCACAGCCCCCTCCTTTGTAATGTAGCCCCCCATCTTTACATCACAGTCCCCCATCTTTTTATCACAGTCCCCTCCTCTGTAATATAGCCCCCCCCCCAAACTTTTCAGTACAGCCCCCATCTTTATATCACAGTTCCCTCATCTTTATATCACAGCCCCCTCCTTTGTAACAAGTACAGCCCCCCATCTTTACATCATAGTTCCCTCAGCCCCCCATCTTTTCTGTACAGCCCCCCATCTTTATATCACAATTCCACCCCTTTGCATTACAGTCCTCCATCTTTACATTGCAGTACCCCCCTTTGCATCGTAGTTCCCCGGCTTTACATCACAGTCCCCTCTTTAGATTATAGCCCCCTTCACAGAAAAGTTCCCCCTTTTACAATAAATTTATCCCCTTACATTATTACCCCTCCTTCACATCACAGCCCACCTTTTGTTCAAAAGCCCCCCATATTATATCACGCCCCCCCCCATTCGCATCACAGCCCAGGCCACATCAAAGTCCCCCCTATAGTACAGCACCCCCTTTTATATCATAGTACTCCCCCCCTTTACCTCACAGCACCCCTGTTACATCTCAGTGCCCCCCTTTACATAGCGGTCCACTGTTTTCATAACTGCCTGCCTTAATAGCACAGCTCCCCTTCCTTTACATCTGTATGCTCACCTTTCCCCTCCCCTTCCTGCCCTACCTTTCTTAGCAGGCAGCGGGAGGTGCTATATAGTCCACTAGACTCATTAGTGACCCATCATTAGCTACTGTATCTATCGAAGCACACAGCCAGGATTACCAAGGAGTGGCTCCGTAAGAAGCATATCAAGGTCCTGGAGTGGCCTAGCCAGTCTCCACACCTAAATCCAACAGAACATCTTTGGAGGGAGCTGAAACTCCGTGCTACTCAGCGACAGCCCCGAAACCGGACAGATCTAGAGGAGATCGGTATGGAGGAGTCGGCCAAAATCCCTGTTGCAGTGCAAACCTGGTCAGGAACTACAGGAAATGTTTGACCTCTGTAATTGCAAACAAAGGCTTCTGTACCAAATATTAACACGGATTTTCTTAGGTGTTCAATTACTTCTGTTCAGCAGTGCGAGACAAATACATTCTTTACAAATCATACAATGGGATTTCCTGAATTTGTTTTTTAAATCCTGTCTCTCAGAGTGGGAATGCACCTACAATGTGAATTTCAGACCCTTCCATGATTTCTAAGTGGGAGAACTTGCAAAATCGCAGGGGGTTCAAATACTTCTGTTCCTCACTGTATGTAACCCCTTTTAAGTCCAAGATGGCCAATCAAATCTTGTGAGTTCTCTGTGTCCAGTGAATCCATAGCAGAGGACACCTTGATCCTATGCCAGGTTGTCCTCTACACCCATTAGTGACCCATCAGAGGCTATATACTGTATGTAACCCCTTTTAAGTCCAAGATGGCCAATAAAATCTTGAGAGTGCTCTGTATCCAATGATCCTATGCCAGGTTGTCCTGTAGACCCATCAGTGACCCATCAGAGCCTATATATAACCCATTTTGAGTCCAAGATGGCCAATCAAATCTTGAGAGTTCAAGAAGGCCAATCAAATCTTGAGAGTTCTCTCCAATCAAATCTTGTGAGTTCTCTGTGTCCAGTGAATCCATAGCAGAGGACACCTTGATCCTATGCCAGGTTGTCCTCTACACCCATTAGTGACCCATCAGAGGCTATATACTGTATGTAACCCCTTTTAAGTCCAAGATGGCCAATAAAATCTTGAGAGTGCTCTGTATCCAATGATCCTATGCCAGGTTGTCCTGTAGACCCATCAGTGACCCATCAGAGCCTATATATAACCCATTTTGAGTCCAAGATGGCCAATCAAATCTTGAGAGTTCAAGAAGGCCAATCAAATCTTGAGAGTTCTCTCCAATCAAATCTTGTGAGTTCTCTGTGTCCAGTGAATCCATAGCAGAGGACACCTTGATCCTATGCCAGGTTGTCCTCTACACCCATTAGTGACCCATCAGAGGCTATATATAGAGATGAGCGAATTATTCAAAAATTCGATTCGGCTGATTCGCCGAATTTGCGGAATAAATTCGATTCGATGCAAATTTATTCGCTGCGAATTTAACTTATTAAAAGGGTTTCTAGGCTTCAGAGAGCCTTTATATTAGTGCAGAACACTGTACCTTTAATTTAAATGCCCTTGGAGTCTGCTGGGGAAGAGAAATAATACTGTCAGTCAGTATGACATGCAGATGAGTGCCGTCGATCTTAGAATCACCGCACACTTCACTCATTTGGGCAGTCACGGGGCCAAAACCAGAGTGTGGAGCCAAAGTGTGGCGGTGGAGGCAGCAGCAATGGGAGGCCATACAGCACCCTATGACAAAATGGAACCCACCAGCAGTGTGATGAGACCTGAAAGTGGCACATTGCAGAGTGTGGCGATGGAGACAGCAGCAATGGGAGGCTGTACAGGGACCCATGACACACTCTGGACCTGGCAGCAGCATGAGGAGGCGGTACAGGGGCCCATGACAGATTACGGGCCTGGCAGCAGCATGAGGAGTCGGTACGGGGGCCCATGGCAGATTACGGGCCTGGCAGCAGCATGAGGAGGCGGTACGGGGGCCCATGGCAGATTACGGGCCTAGCAGCAGCATGAGGAGGCGGTACGGGGGCCCATGGCAGAGTGGCGAAGCGTAAGCAGCTTAAATTGAAGGCCATACAGAGGCCTATGTTAAAAAGTCCCCCCAGCAGCAGTGTGGGGACACGACTATCAAGAGTCCAATGGCAGAGTGGCGGAGAAGAAGCAGCTTCAATTGAAGAAGAAGAGGATGAGGATGAAGAAGAAGAAGAAGAAGAAGAAGAAAAGGATGAGGATGAAGAAGAAGAAGAAGATGAGGATGAAGAAGAAGAAGAAGAAGAAGAAGAGGATGAGGATGAGGATGAAGAAGAAGAAGAAGAAGAAGAAGATGAGGATGAGGAAGAAGAAGAAGAGGATGAGGATGAAGAAGAAGAAGAAGAAGAAGATGAGGATGAAGAAGAAGAAGAAGAAGAGGATGAGGATGAGGATGAAGAAGAAGAAGAAGAAGAAGCAGCAGAAGAAGAAGAGGATGAGGATGAGGAGGAAGAAGAAGAAGAAGAAGAAGAGGATGAGGATGAAGAAGAAGAAGAAAAAGAGGATGAGGAAGAAGAAGAAGAGGATGAGGATGAAGAAGAAGAAGAAGAGGATGAGGATGAAGAAAAAGAAGAAGAAGAAGAAGAGGATGAGGATGAAGAAGAAGAATAAGAAGAAGATGAGGATGAAGAAGAAGAAGAAGAGAGGATGAGGATGAGGATGAAGAAGAAGAAGAAGAGGAGGATGAGGATGAGGAAGAAGAAGAAGAGGATGAGGATGAAGAAGAAGAAGAAGAAGAAGAAGAAGAGGATGAGGATGAAGAAGAAGAAGAAGAAGAAGATGAGGATGAAGAAGAAGAAGAAGAAGAGGATGAGGAAGAAGAAGAAGAAGAAGAAGAAGAAAGAGGATGAGGACGATGATGAAGAAGAAGAAGAAGAAGAGGATGAGGATGAGGAGGAGGAAGAAGAAGAAAGAAAGAAGAGAGGATGAGGATGAAGAAGAAGAAGAAAAGGATGAGGATGAAGAAGAAGATGAGGATGAAGAAGAAGAAGAAGAAGAAGAAGAAGAGGATGAGGATGAAGAAGAAGAAGAAGAGGATGAGGATGATGTGGAAGAAGAAGAAGAAGAAGAAGAAGAAGAAGA